GAGGTCGAGCGATGATGTCACAGAGAAAGGAGGGGCCGGTCCTACCGATCTCTCGGTTTAGGATCTTCTCCTCTCGGTTCCCCAGCGGTTCGATGACCTTCAGGATGGGGTGAAACAGTCGCAGGTCGCACAACCTCCGCGTCTCATCGTAAAACTCCTCCCTCTCAGCCTCCTGGGTCACGCCCACAAAGATGTAGCAGGACTCCTCCTAACCAATTAGAGAGCAGAAGCGAGAGCGTTAATCCGTCACGGGTGAAGTGGAGGGTGTGCAGAGAGAGAAGAAGATGGCGTACCTGCAGCAGGTGGTAGAGAGGATACTTCCTGGCCTCGATGAAGAGCTGCTGCTTTATGCTGATGAGAGGAGTTTCTCTGAGACACTCCAGGCTCACCATCATCCCTGGTGAGCAAATACAAAGATTAACCACAAGCAAGCAAAGAACAAAAGAACAAAAGCAAAAATGCATAAAACCAAAAAAAAAAAAAAAAAAAAAAAAAAAAAAAAATAGTGCAGTAAGACTACAGTGACTACAGGAAACAGACACTGAAGAAACACAAAACTACAGATCAGATTCAAATATACAATTAGATGATTCAAGTTTATTTTCATGTTTGAGGCGCAAAAACGTGTCACACACTGTAAAAACAATATAAACTTAATGTTAAACAGAATATCACCATTGGGGAGGCAGCAGTCCACCAGGATCCGTGGGGGCATCAGATGGAGCCCCCATAGCTCCCCGGACGACGGCCTGGGCACCATGGTAACCACCAATCACCAGCTGCCACACCTCAGCACTGGGCTACCTGGACAGACGGGCACAGACAGACATGTACTGTGGTTTTACTTCAGAGTTTTATGGTGTGACATTAAACACACTTAGATAAAAGCTCATTCAGAAACAGCAAAATGTGTTTCAACCGATGTTTTCATTTGTTAAAAAAAGACAAAAAGGAAAATCCCTGCATTATTTTCTTTCCAATTTGAAAGATTTTGCGTCTCTGTGACGCAAAATCTCAGTGAAATATGCTGAAGCTTGTTTCCAACATGACACAGTGTGTAAAAGGAAGAGCAAAAATGTGTTTTTAAGGCTCTGTTTCCACTCAGGAAAATGAGTAATCCTTCCACCCAGTCAGGATTCTCCATCCAGAGAAGTATAGCAAAAAACAAAAAGTGCATATTTCACAATAAAACCACAAATTAACAACAGAAACACAGTTTACTGACAGAAAGTGAATACGTAAAAAAAGCCTAGTTCTATAAGACATGCAACCATTAAGAGATCAAATAAAAAAATAACACATGATCTCACTTAATCTGTATGACTTTAGGGAAACTACACTCTTTTTCACCTGCCTGCAGTTCAGATCTTTCTTCGACAGGATTTCATTGATTTGGGTAAATTCGACTTGAATCATGTGTACAGGACTTTAAACACTGCGGATTCATTCCCCACAGCTGATAAAGAGGATCATTAGTAAACCGTCAAAACCAGGTCAGACTTCCTGCTTGGTTTGTGAGAAACCGCTCAACGTTGCACAAGTTTATTACTCAACTTCCCTTTGCTATTTGCTCTGAGTTTGGTGCGTTTTAAATATGACTGTCAACGATAGAAAAAGTGGACCTTTCAATCCATAATGAAAAACATTCAAATAAAGGGGAAAAAATATTAAACACTATACAATAAAGTATAAATGATTTTTTTTCATCTTTAGGCGCATGTTTAGGTTCTGTTTTCTGAAACAAACATAGTCAATCTGTTTTTGCTGGTTGTTTTTGTTGACCCTTTCTGGTGTTTTTGCTTTGTTTATTCCTCGTGTTTTTAATTTTTTTTTTAAATTTCTCTTTTATTCTGCACTTGTCCTCGACATCCACCCCTCTCAAAACATATCAGCATGCCTTATTGTCTCAACTCTTTGTGTTTTTTTAGGATGAAGCCGTCAAACAAAGGAAGGAAGTAGGACACACACGCACACACATGCACACTTAGAGACTAATACACACTCAGAAACACACACAGCGAAACAAAAGCAGCTGTATGTGTGTGTGTGTGTGTGTGTGTGTGTGTGTGTGTGTGTGTGTCTATGTGAGAGGAAGTCTGCTTCCTTCCTACACACTCTTCCTGTTGACCAGCTGATTTAAAAGAGAACAGGTCCTCACACAGAAGCCTTGTTTACAATTTGATATTTAAAACCAACAAGCAAGATGTCATCAACAACGCAAATAAAAACTGAGCTCTTTGTATGTTTATTTTTCTTTCCTGAAAAGACTTAAAGCAAAGCATGAATGGCAGAAAACACCATGAAATAGAAAAAAGAAAAATTAAAATTAAACTTATTCCTATCACTTATATTTTGATGGAAAAGTGGTAAATAAAACTAAAGTTTCATATAAAATGACACTGTTTGAAACAAATGTCGAACATTAACCAGAATACCAGCTTAGAATGAGGTTGCAACTTTAAAAAATGTCATACAAAATGTGTTTTATATTAATAAATAATTCATATAAATAAGTAAGGTTGGACAAATGACATTAATTGTAAACGTATCTTTTTTTTTCTTTAGAAAAAGCTGAATACTTCAACAATAAAGCTAACCTACTGACGTAAGAAGAAACGTCACGTGACTATTAGACTACCTGCGGAATTTGTCGCCGCATGACTGACTGACAGTTTGGTGATGTCACGTGTTTGCTTACAGGTAAACAGCAAACAGGAAACACAGACGGACAGAATAAACACGTAAATAAATACACTTTAAAAATGACGTCCCTATCTCCCCCTACCACTTCTTCATCGTGACCTCAGACTGTGAGATGGTTACCATGACAACAGCAGCGCAGCATCCGCGAGGATGGAGACGGACTCACGGACGGCGGAGACATGACAGCCGGGCTGTCTTTGTTCTGCTCGCGCGTGTAAGCCTATCATTCACCTGAGCGCTCGTCCTCCGCTCCCATGGCGCGTGACTTCGCTCATAGCGTCGCCGTGTCCGCGTGTCGGTTCGCCAGCCTGCCCTCTGTCTTTGTCTCCACTTCTGTGAACTGTTGGACCCGCACAAAGAGATGCGCCGCCGGTGAGACACGCCGGGCGGGCGCGTTTCTGTTAGCCCGTCGCTTTACCTGCCAATCGCTCCGTCAAACGGTGTATCAGTCTGTCTGTCAGCGGCTCCGCTGGTTGACCAGCAGTAGCGGGAGGGAACCGGTTTCTCGCCGGCAGCCTCAGAACAATGTGTTTGAGGAGGAGGAGGGTGGGTGAAGGGTTGGGGGGTGGGGGGGGGGGGGCGTGGGGGGTGAGGTATGGGCTCATCCTGTCCTCTCCCTATCTTAAAGGGCCAGCAGCCCCTCAAAGATAGAAGAGCGCTCGCCGTGTTTAGATTAGGAGGAGCGATGTCTTACAACTAGAGCTTGATGTCTTAAAAAATATATATAAATTATAATAATAAAAAATAATAAATAAGTACAATTTCCAAATCAGACCAGCGTTTCAATTTGTATTCAGTGTGAAATTATTCAGAGGAAGTTTTATCAGTTGACTGATTAGTCAGTCGGACATGTTCCTTTCCTGTTTTATTCCTAAATAAATCACAAAGTGTGTGTGTGGTTTTTTTTAAATAATCATATGTACATTAATTGTTAAACAATAAATTTTAAGTTTTACCAGAGGATAATACATAAACCAAACAAACAAAAAAGAAAACAAAGAAGTTGTTTTTCTTATTTATTTTTTTATTATTAGCTCCATTCTCCTTAAATCCAGCCAGCCATGCACAACTGTTTTATTGTTTCAATGAACATGCATCAAATCACCTTTGAATGAACAATGCCACATGTTCCTCTCTGTTCTGGTTCAAATCCTTTAGTTCCTATAAAGAGTTCTTTTTTTATGAAAGGAGTAGCTTGTTTCAACTAAATATTAACAACCATTCATGTAGATAAAGAGTGACATGCTAACTAACGGAAATAAATAAATAAATAAAAATAAAAATAAAGAACTCATCTTGAGGCTCCTAAAGTTCTTCTGAAGAGTTCTGGAGAAAGTGAAGTGAACCAAACTTTAACTAGATGTCCAGGCTCTTTGTTTTCTTTTTAAAGCTGAGCAAGTTTTAAATATTCGGCACATCTTTCCAGTTGCCATGGCTACATGTCCTTTCCCAGTAGGAGAAACACACACAGATTGAATCTTAATCTGCGTTTTCCAGATTCGATTTGTTTGAGTTTCTGTATCGTGATCGGGGGCAGAGCTTTCTGGATTACAGATTACAGTGCCTCCTTTCTCTGTGCTCTGTCCTGATGATTCTGATGAGTGCCATATCCCAGCATGCAATGAGAGTGGTTATGTCACAGCTGTTGATGTCACAAAGCACCACAGGTCAAAACTACTTTTTGAAGACCGATACCATGTAAAATAATCTGTGAAAAACTGGCAAGTAAATGTGAAGATGTTTTCTTTTCTTCAAAAGAAAACTGCAGAACTAGATAAGTGTTGTTTAATGAGTTAGAATATTAAAATGTCTAATGTCTCACTTAAATATCAGAATTGCATAAGTTTTAAAAGCGACAATTTCTAAATACACTTAGTGTTCGTGACACAAATGTTGATGAATGAGATTCAATCAGGATAATCCCACACTACTTTAATTACTTTGAGTTTGATCTTTCACTGACAAATCCCTTCATGCTTGTTTGAAGTGGAGCTCAGTATCATTTAAAATCAGAGCTCAAGAAACATTTTCTAAGCTAAATTTGTATAATAACTTGATATCAAATCATGACAATTTACATAATTCCTGTTTCAGCATGATCATTACCATAAAAGGTTAATCTGGACTTAAATAACACATATCCTCTATTGTTTTCATTATGCAAACTCCAGACCATTTGATAATATTTCAGGATCACAGAGAGGCAAAACTTTCTACTTGAATTTCTGATAATTACAAAATCACAAAAGATGATCAAAAAAGAAAACAAAAACAAATAAACAGACATAACCCAGCTGGATAATTATACTTCATTAATTTATTTATATATTATAATTCTTTATAATCATTGTCTTTCTAGCAGCAGCAGCAACAAGTCCTGCTGTCAAAATGTGAGTCTGTCAAACATGTTACCATGACAACACAGTTGGTTTAGCACCAAGCACTCATTCAGGTGTTGTGAACTTTTCCCCTGTACATGAGGGTGGTAAGCAAAACTATTGACATGTAATTATTAAAAACAGCACATGAAGTTTCAGAGTTTCTCTGTCATTTTTAGGTTTGTTTGAGTTCAGTGAGTCATGAGAATTTCATAAACAAGTTGATTTGAAAGCAAATCTAAAGAATGCAGAAAAAGTTTGTCACTGGGTAGCTGTAGGTTGGTCTTCCATTCACCTGGAAATGGATCAATTTTTGTCAAGGGATGGTTCAGATTTTTTTTTAAGTCAGGTTCTGTGATGTTTATCTGCTCTGGACAGATGTTGTATTGCTCTGAGTTTGTAGAAAGTCCAAGAGAACGTCAGATTACAGGAAGTCATCTTAATTTGAGCCAGTTATAACAATCATGCTGAAAATTAAAATGGTTGTAAAAGTAGGAAGCAGCAAAATGTTAGTGGTTATTAACCCTTCAGAGTTTTGCATTACCCTGTTGTAAAGTTTGTTGCTGTTCTGAACTGTATTTGTCTCAACACGCAAAAATTACCTGGGCCGTGAATCATCAGCACACTCCGTTAATCTAATTCTGACAAAAGTAGAGTGAACTTCTGGTTTTAGATTTGAGGACAAGCTGCACAATGGCATAAGACATAGTATGTTCCAGTGCTTTTCCAGGCAACGCTAAAACCCTTTAGAGATTACTGTTTTTTCCTCATTTACAAATTCCAGCTGATCTTCACGTTAAGCAATGTATGGATCAGTGAAAGTGCAAAAAGTTAAAATTTGACATTGCCGCACTGTATCGCACTAGCGTACCAGTTTAATATCAGCTGAAAAGTGGACTAGCCTTTTATCTGACTAGCTGTTAGCCTTCCATCATCTGAATACTCTATCAGTTGTTTACTGCATGACTTTTTCTACTTCAGATAAGGAAACTGTTACTGCCCAATTAATTTCAGACTGAATATGAGAATATTATTGAGATATTCTGTGTCCTGTTGGTGAGTAGATGTTGTGGGTCAGCGTTCTCAGGATGTGGTTTTCTCTCTCCAGCTGCTGGTTCCTCTCCTGCAGTTCTCTCAGTTGTTCTCGTAAAAGCTCCACCTCTTCACGCACCACCAGCATCAGGTGACTCTTTACCAGATCCTGAGGAGACGAGCAGAAACAGATGTGTAAATTTAGAGAAAGGTGAAACGATGTAAAAAATGTATTATATAATTAAAAAAGGAAGGTGGGCAGGTGAAGACAGAAAGAGGTTAAAAAAAAAAAAAGTCAGCGTTCTGTCTTCCGAATGTTACATGAAATGCAGGTGTGTCAATCTGCATCTTCCAGTAGAGGGTGCTGCTTGAACATCGCACAGTTAAGAGTAATAGTTTGTGACTACAGTGGTTAAACCGGATTCAGCAATGTAAATTAGTTAAGTGTGGCTTTTGAGGTAAAATTCAAACCGGTGGCAAACAGGTCGAATCAAAAGCAGGAAGACTTACCATTGCCTGCTCAATTTTACCGTCAATGCCCAAAAGACTGGAAGAACTGCAAAGAGATGCACAGGTGAAATAGATACAGGCGAGGTGAACAAGGGTGACAAAGTAACGGCTGTAGTTGAATAGGATCCAGCTTGTGCCATTTTCAAGGCCTAAAGTAATGATCAGAAGTTACTTAATATGGAAATAGATGTCATAGCATGTTGAGGTTTTCATGATGCATGCGAGTTGTTGTTCTTTGAGGTAAAGTGATCATACATGATGCACCGTCAGTGATTCAAACAACACAATTTGAATTACGTAAAAACTTATTGAAGATTTTTCATAAAGTCATATTGCAGACGGCTTCTTGTACCCAAGAAAGTCAGAAACAAAACTATGATATTGAATTACATAGTCTTTCCTAATACAATACATAGTCTAAGACATGCAACCCCTAGTAAATTTGCTGTTACCTGCACCATTTGATCCCCATGGTTACCTGTGGTAAAACAGCAGTAGTGACATCATGGTTAAATTGGAACCTCGCCCATTGGGCGTAGCTCTAGCAGGAACTGACCGATGAGGACAGGCTGCAGGAAGCAGAGGATTCTGGGAGACTGAGGTGGCCGGAGCTATTGAGACGATGTCTGATCTTGGTATGCTGGAGGGCCGCTGCCGAGTTTCTGCAACTGAATGCACTCTGGAGGGTGGGGTCAGGGATCTGTGGTGGGCTGTTGCTGAGGCGCGCGGCCAGGACTCCCTGATTGCCGAAGCCTGGCCTTTGGCCTTCTTATGCTCCCGCAGCACAACAGGTGCCTGTGGTTGCCTAGCAACGAGTTGCAGAGACCTGAGAGGTAGTGGAGGGGTCGAAGAAGGATAGCGCTGAGAATGATTATGAGAGGCGGCGTCAGAAAGCACAGAGGATGACTTCTTCTTCTTTACGCTCATGGACATCTTCTGTCAATCATTGGCCTCTGCCAGCAGGACTCACCAATCAGGACCCAGCTACATCATTTCCAGTTTAAAAATAGTCCAGGCAATCAAAGTCCTTGCAGTGAAATAAGCATTCAATCAGACAAGTGCTTACCCATCGAGTGGTATTTAAAGCCAGAACAAGTTTTTTTCTTATTGGCGAGTCTTCATTGTGACGCCATCATCAACTCTTGGCCTCTTTTCAGAGCCTGATTGGCTGACACTCATTCAGAACCAGCTGGTCATCTCAGGATATCCAGATGTTGACTTCAGACTGAAACTCTTTAGAGAGTATTTCTCCCAACAGGACTTTCTGTCCCACTCCCACTCAGTCTGGTCTCTGGTTGGCCATTGCCTCATTCCAGCCCCTTCCCACTCATTGTTTCAGCCAATCAGAGGGCTGCAGAGGCATTATGCTCTGCCTACACACACAGACAGACCCTCATTCATTCTGTCAGTCAGTCAGAGCCTGATATCTTGCCAGTACTTCAGACTGTTACAAATTCAAATCTTTAGGGTTTGTCTTTATCTGATTCAAGTGTTACTTGAATCAACAAAGGCATGTACACATCAGCAACCTTCAGTCCGAGCCAATGAGAGAACCGTTGTCCAGGGTTTGCACCTTGGTCTGTAATACGTCTGCACAACACAACACAATAAGGTGAAACCCATTGTGACAGCTCTTATTTTTAAAAATATCATGATGCCTTTCTCTTGTACTTCAGCAGTACAAGAGGTAAGCAGGTAAAATACTTTCCAATGTGTTCATCAGTGAAATCAGGTTGAGCATGACCCGAGGCAAAAGGGTAAATAATCAGAGATAAACTGAAGTTTTTTTTTATTTTTTTTATAGAAAACCCCACAGGATTTTTGACCGTAAGAAAGTAAAGAAAGGTTCATTGCCAGCTACATAGAAATTTGCATGTAGCTCATCCAACTTGGAAGGATATAAAGAAATTAGTTAGTGACCATATGGTCAAAATAATTATTTTCTTGGCTCTTTCACCTGTCTGACTTTGAGGGTATCTTGAGTTTGTCCTTCCTGATCAAGTCTTCATTCCTGCTGCAAACTTAAATAAAATGTGTTCTTATCTAATCCTATGTATCGGACCCTGATCAAGATTTTATTTAATTTTTTTCATTGATGGTGCCTGCTTGTGTCTAGGCTTTCCCTGTCCCCACTGAGCTGATTTGGTTTTGTATGCAAAGCTTGCAAAAGTGTAAAGCAGGCCCTCCACATAACTTGATATTAGTGGTCTCAGACTTTTACAGTGGTGTTTACATGGACAGAGTGCTGCCGTTCTGTCTGTGTTGTGTTCAAGTCATGTGATCGTCTCCGGGCTGTAAGTGTAGGCAGAGAGGTCAAAAAGTCACAGTCATTTACTTTAATGGCATTTAAAGCAAAGCGTTGCATTTATAAAGCAGGGGAATACAGGAGGAGGAGGTTGTTATTCAAAGACAAGCATATATGGTTTGCTTTCTATTTCTACTTGCCATTTTCATAAGCAATACATTATAAATGATCAATTACAAAAGCTTGATTTCTAACTGATTTTATGAGCGGTGATTAAATTACATCCAGATTATGCAGGTTTTTATAAAGCTGAAAAAATGTCTTGGTGATTTTAAAGGACAACAGATGCTTGTGCCACTCCTTTTTCTCCTGGACCTGAAACACACCACAAAGTAAGCTGCTATGGACACAATAAGCAAACAGAACGAATAAAGTAAAGGAAATAACCAAAATGTCTTGACTGAAATATTAAAAGCATTTACTCAGTTTTACTGTCAGTGTTGCACTGCAGACATATTTGCAGGTAATTCGGCTGTAATTACTGGAATCTGGGTTTAAAATCACTCAAGTCGTTCAGTAGCTATATTACTCTGTTCCAATGTGTACTTATTATTAGCGTCTTTAATTAAAATGTGATTATGTGTATTTTCATGTTTTTATTCACACAGATAAGGTAATTAAACTTACACTTATTACACTTACACTTATTAAACATTACACTGTGATCTCCAGCTGCTTCCCCTGAAACATTAATGTAACATTTAAACACATCAGGCAGTCATGGTATTACATTTGCTAATATTTCTACATGAATCAAGGTGTATACTGTACCAGTGTCAAGATTTCTGCTTGGGGGGATGGATTCGTAGATAGCTATGTCGCCTAAAGGGTAAAATTAGGATCTTTAGCATTTTGGGGGAAAAAAAAAAGTATTTTTCCGGGCAGTAAACAGCAGCCATGTTGTAAATTCATTATTCAGGGCTGACCATGGGTAAGATGACTGTACGGACTGTCTGGATCTGGGTCGGCTGTATATTTTTCACCAGAGGCTCGACTGGATTCCACACGTGAAGAAAGCTCTGGAGATTGAACAGGAACAGAACGTATTTGTTTGTTATGTTAAAATTATTCTTCAAAATTAAGGAATTCAGAACGATGTTACAACGTGGATCTATGAGGAGAGGTCTTGGCGACATTGAGATCATGAAATACGGCTGTGGGATTATTAATTTTGAAATTCTTACCTTTAATTTTTCTGAGCAAAAATATAAACAGCAAAACCAGACTTCCACAGAGTAGGAGATTTCCACAAACCATCCCCGTCATCAGTGGCGAAGAGACAAGTGAGCCGCTTCCCTCTATAACAGCACATCACTCGTTAACACTGGCACTGTATGGGCCCCATGATGAAACATCAAACTGGGCCCCACTTCCCACACCTGTCACCACATTTCTAGCCTTTAACTGGTTCATCAAAAGCTTCACATTATTAACTTTAAACACTTGCAACTGTCTTGCTGCCTTTACTCCAATGCTGATACTAGCACAATATTTACTGCTAGTAAAATATGCATGCACAAGGCAAGAATAAATTCAGATGTAAAACATGTACTAAAAGCCATATCTTACACCCTGTTTTACATTGCAAAAATTAAAAAAATTCTCCAAACATTCTTGAAATATAAAATAACAGACACTAAATACACATTTATAACTATGCAACATTTACATTACAACAAACCAATGATAAAAAAAAAACAATTTACATCTGATTGGGCTTTTCTCGTAAGCTCACATAGCATGCTCGTGAGTTTCCAAATGTCCAGCCTCCGATTTAGACAAGAAGCTTTTTTTTTATTATTATTCTTATTTTTTAATTACCATTATTTTATAATGATTTGTCTGAATTTCTATCAATAGCAAATATTTCACTTTTGTTGTGTAATGTTAAACAACAAGAGAGAGAAAAGTCCCGGAAGCACCTCTGCACTGATGCTAACTAGCATGTCATTAGCTACGCATGGCGTTGCTCACCGTTTTCACATGGTGGACGAGTTACGCTGGTAGGAGGAGTTACTGGGTCTGCTGCTGACTCCGACTCATCTGTTGTGGCGTGTGGTAAAAGTCACAGGGAAAATTACTTCAACAAACCACTTTCACGGACATGTATATGGTCCTAACTTTCCCAGCGTATACAGTGCCAAACCCAAGATAATACGATGACTATCACGTTTTTGTGTGTGCCTGAATTAGCTTAAGCACAACTGGATTCATGAAGTTGTTTGCTTGTGCCAAATGGAAACTTACGGTTTGTGCCGACTTTCATTGGCTCACTGAACTCTGTGTAGTAAACTGGCTCTCCTCTCCCCCCTCTGCACCAGTAGAGTCCTCTCTGGGAGACAAGGATTTGTTTGTTGCTCGCAGCAGCATCCTGTCCGGGCTTGATTTCAGAGGGTATTTCACCCATATACCAGAAGTAATTCCAGGTAGACGGTGATGTATCCACATAGCAGGTCAGATCCCAATATCCACTCCCACTTAACAAGTCAACATTTAGCGTTGCCTTTGGCTTGCTTGCTGTTTATGTCGGAGAAATATATAGTTAAAAAAAAGTGGTATGAAACCTTTTGATTTTAAAGTTTCAATTACATATTCTAAATGTACATTTTACATTCAAAGAAAGTAACCACTGAAGCATAGTTTCACTCTAGCCACATCCATCCTCAGTCATTACTAATAATGTCTATAACTTTTCTCCTTGTAATTAATGAAGGCATCATTAGAAAATTACTTATTAACTCAATGCTGACCTCTTTTTTCTGTTTTTTTTTACAGCCAATTTCAAATAATTCTGTATTTTCAGTATTATTGCCTACATAATCCGACCTAAATCAAGGACAGTGAGCTGGAGTTTTAGATTTATTATATAAATGGATAAATAATAACTCGGAGTAAAAAGAAAAAACATCTTACAATGCACAGTCAGTCTGATGGGATAACTCCACATTGTGGGATGCAAGTCCATCTTCTGTTTCCCTCTGCAATAGTAGTCACCTGCACTGGAAATGGATGTGTAAAAGACCCAGTCTCCAGTGATTTTCGTTAAGCTTTCCAAGCTCGTCGTTCTCCATTCGTATTCCCACTGAGCGCCGTCACCGTCCGAGATGACACACGTCAGACTGATCCTCTCTCCGATAAATATTTTGATCCAGCTGGGATTTTGTGTTATCCTTGCTGTCTTCAAATGTCTTTCTGAAGGTGAAAAACATGAATTACTGAAAAGAACTCAAGGTGGAAGTTGATGTTGTGTGTGATACGCATTGTTTGTTTTACGGACAAAACACTTAACTTATTTTGTCAATCGTAACTGTGTTGCTGTCCTCTGTGAAAACAACTGGATCTCCTCTTCCTCCTCTGCAGTAGTAGGTGCCTTCTTCTGAAATAGTAATATTCTGTTCTGCTGTTCCACTTTTTATCATGACAGATTTAGAATATTCTGATGTATGTCTTTTGAACCAGTAGTATCTCCAGTCTGCAGATGCGTCCACAGAGCAGGTCAGGGTCACACTGCCACCCGCTGGTACTCGCCTGCTGTCTGCTCTGAGTGAGGCCTGCAGCACCTTTGCTGCTCAGTTGGCAAACAAAGAAAATAAATACATAAAGATTACCTTTTTACCTGAGATAAGCTTTTAAGTGTTGCTTTCTATGTTCCAACAAATTGTTTATTTTAAAATGTCATTCTTTTCCAGACTCAGATTTCTGGTTTCCTTAACATTCTGGCCATTGGAGAACAAAACATTTACCTACTGAATAAACTAATGATGAATAAACTGAGAGTTAAATGCAAAGGTCAGCACTTACCTTGGACAGATCCATAGCCAATGAATGGACCAAACACTTAAAAAAAAGAAGAAAATGTAGGATTAAGTCCAAATGAAACCAAAAAGAATACAGGTTTCTTGATTGATATTCATATATACATTTTTGAATTTGAACATTGTTCCAGTTTGGTTTCACATTTTTCAAAATATTGCTCATACATCAAGACTTCTTGGGAAAAAAAATAGTGACCCTTTTAAAATGATACAAATTGAGGTAATTAAAAAAAAAAAAAAAAAAAAAAAAAAAAAAAACCCAAAAAAAAAAAAAAAAATTTTTTTTACCAAAAAATTAGAAAAA